GTCATCATCTCTGTCTCTATCTCAGGCATCTCTGTTTCTCTGGGTAGGGTTCTGCTCTCGGCTCTTTTCCGTTGATGGTCCCAGATAGCTCTGCTCCTAGCCTGTAGGATTAATCACTCCCTTCCTTGTTCCAAAACGTCTAGCTTTGCATTTCCAACCCTCATAATCCGTCCTGATAAGCATTCTTCACTACAGTATTGCGAGTTACCCATCTGTATTTCCTTTCATCTGCTCTGCCCAGACAGATTGAATAGTACCCACTGGAGATTCTGCCTTCCTCCATGCTCCCCAGCATTAGGTTCTCCCTTGAAAGCTTGTAAGCCAGTCACTTCTTGCCTTTGTAGTCCCTCCCTCCCCATTTGAGTATCCAATGTCCAAGTTGCCCATCTCCGTCCACTCTGTGTGTGGAGAGGGTGGGAATGATTCTTGCTGTAAGGATTTGTTCCTTCTTTTGAGTTGCTGCTCCATAGGTATAGGTCAAGTTCATCCAGTCATCCGGCCCAGGTCACGTGGGTTTCATTTGCAAGTGTGGGCGCTCCTGTGCACATGTCTGGCAGTTCACTCTTCATGTACTGTTGCAGCTGTTTTTGAATTATCTTCAATAAGATTTTATTTGCATGTGATATTAATGATATTGTTGGATGATTTCCGCATTCATTTGGGTCACCTCTGTTTGAACTGTGGTCACCTGTGTTAAAGAGCCACCCCATTAGGACCCACCAGGGACCCACCAGGACCCCTTTGTCAGTTAGTTGCTGTTGTTGAATGCCGTCAAGTTGGGTCCACTCATAGCAACTCATAGGATTTCCAAGGTGGGTTTGAACTACTTCCCTATGGGTAGCAATCAAATGCCTATTCTCAGTGAAGGCAAACCCTTTTCATTCTTGTTGTTGTTATTATGTGCCGTGGAGTTGGTTCCCACTCATAGCGACCCTGTACAGGGTTTCCGAGAGCAGAAAGTGTCATCTTTCTCCTGCGGAGCAGCTGGAAGTTTCGAACTGCCGACCTTAAGACTCACAGCCTGATTCGTAACCTCTACGCTACCAGAGCTCCTTCTATAGCCACCTAAACACCAAATAGGTTCTGGAAACAGCTGCAGGGATTAATTCCTTTTGTTTGTCAACAAAATCCTACCCACCCACTGGTTTACTTTTCAAATGCTTCACGCTGTCTTCAAGAGTAGCTCTTCTTGGAGACACATCTTTCAGCAGGATCAATAGCTAATAGGAGACCCTGGCTCTGGAGTGAGAGGCAGGAGAAACTGTGCCACCAAAAACCGGTGACAGAACACTGCAACGGTCCTGGAGGTTCGATGCACCAGGGTGGTGCCTGGGTGGCTTGCTTAATACTGGCCACAACCCTGAGGTAGGCGGTGTCGTGTGGCTCAGCGGTGTTGTTTCCTTAAGATCACACAGCTAGTAATGCATTCATCCATTAATTCAATAGACCAAGCACCTACTCTATGTTGGGAATAATGATGAATGAAATAAGCAGGGTGGTGTTGATTCCATTCCTCCTGGCCTGGGGCAGGAACAGGATGAAGGCTGAGCCTCCACATGGGGTCAGGTGGGGGCCTAGAACCTGAGGGTGGGTGGGGGGAACTAGTCAGGTCCCTGACTGAATGTGAATGTCAAGGTGGAGGCAAAAGCTGTTCTGGGCCCTGATTTAAGTCCGATGTCTCTCCTCTTCACTCTCCTCCTGGCTAATTGAAACAAGAGCCCCAAGGTTAGACTGCAGAGGTATTCCATCTGCAGGTGCTGGGGAGGGATAGGGGTTCCCTTAAACTCTAGACACCAGGAGTCTGTATTTTAGAATGTGATTCTCACACGCAGTCATGCTTGGATGCTGTGGCCTAGACACCTCAGACTCCCTGTGAGAGTCTCTGCCCAGCCCCAGCTCAAAGAGGCTTGGAAGGGAAAAGAAAGGTCCTGGCTCGTCTCTTGCCCTCCAGGGGCGGGGAGCTTGGGCTCCAGGAGTGAGACTTTTTAGGGTTGTGGGGAGGTGAATGGGGAGGTGAAAGTGCTCTCGGGGAAACATGCGTGAGGGAGTGAGGGGTGTCTGTCGGGTGTGGACCTGCCCACAGCATGGTCACCTGAGGTGTGGGGGACACAGTGTGGTCACCTGAAGTGTGGGGGGACACTGCCCACAGCATGGTCACCTGAGGCCTTGGCTTCCATGTTGTGCTCAGGAGTTGGGGGTGCCCTTCAGAGTTGCTCCTCATATTAGGCAGCCATGGGAGCAGGTTGCCTCCTGGGGGGCAGCCTCGGATGCCAGGATGATTTCCCAGTTTGGAGCACAGCTGACGTGACACTGGGCCTACAGGTCCAGACACGACACACAATATCCACCCCCCCCCAGGCTGCTGTCCATCCTAGGCATAGTCTCAGGACTCCTGTGAGTGCTCAGTTCCTGCTTCCCAAACACCACAGGCCCAATTAAGGGGGCTTCAAGCAAATCTGGGTCCTTTCACCACCCCACAAGATAGCAAGTCCCTTGATGGGTGGGAGCAGAGAAGTTTCCCCTGAGCCTTCCTCCTCAGACCTTCCCTCATGGGAGCTCTGTGCCAGCTTCCTCAGAGCCATGCTGGCCACAGTGCCTCGGGGAGAGGACGTCCCTTGGCCTGACTTTCTAATCTGGGAGGCAATAGGGCCTGGAGGCCTCAGCTCTGCCCAGTTCTCCCCCTTGGGCATGGCTGAGGGACATAGCACTCCTGGCAGGCCTGATGACGCAGGTCAACAGCGGGGAGGCCTCCTAGGCTGGGGCCAAGCCAGAGCCTGTGGAGGCCCCTCTGTCCAGGGCAGATGGTCCCTGGATCCGGTGGGAGGGCTGCCAGGGTCTTGGCCGAGCCTCACTCTGCTTTTGTACAGTCCGAGATGGCTGGTACTATTTGCTGAGGGGGATGGGCTTCTTCCCTAGTCAGTGGGGCTTTAAGATTCCCATTACTTCCGACCCCCTGACCCAGAAAGCTTAACCCGACGCCTGAGTCTAGTCCACACTAATCAAGGCCCAGTAGGAACCCCTGTGAGGTGGTCTAGGCTACAGGCCTTTCCTCCTGTTGAACCCTTTCCCCATGAAGCTCAACCCGGATCAACCCATTTATTTGTTCACCGACAGATGTAAACCGAGCACCTACCATAAAGCAGGTCCTGCTCTCAGCTCTGCAACTGTACTGACAAGCAAGACAGACAAGGTCCCTGCCCTCCTGCAGCTGACCTATCCAAGAGGGTGTATGGAGAAATGATGGAGGAGGGAATGTCTGAACGAAGCCTGGAAGGACAGGAGCCAGCCAGACCGAATTCTAGGGGGATACAGCCGGGGGAGGTCCCTGAGGTGGCGGGTGGGGTATGCTGGGGTGTGCTTTGAGGTGATAAAGGGGCAAGAGTGCTGGGTGTGGGGAGAGGAGGGATTTGGGACCAGACCATGACGGCCTCACAGGAATTAGATTTGATTCTGAAACTTTCACCAAGAGGATTATATACAAAGAGCCGAGAGGCATATAGCTCTTGCTTTGTTATTGTCATGGCACTGCCCCCATCCCCTGTGCCAAGTAGAACTGCTCCACAGAACTCTCAAGGCTGTGACCTTTAGGAAGCAGATCACCAGGTGTTTCTTCTGAGGTACATCAGGGTGAGGTCAAGCTACCAACCTTTCAATTAGTAGTTGAGAGCTTAATTATTTGTACCACCCAGGAATCCCAGGTCTTCCTTATAGAAACCAGTTCATTCAAATCCCTCAAAAACCTCATGGCAGGTCCTATTGCTACATTGTACAGATGAGGAGACGCAGGTAGGTAGAGGCTATTTCGCTAGCTCAATGACACACCGCAGGACAGTAGGAGAGCCAGTTTCCTGGAGGACATACTGTCTCTAGAGCGCTAACCACCTCACCACACACACTCTTGGGGTTTAATCCCCTCACCTCCAATTTAGCCTTCTCTAGGAAGAGTTTGTTTCCTTGGATTAAACAACATAAAACATAATACATGGCCTAAAAAAATCCCAACTGTGTGGTTCTGACGAGGTCATCTTGTCCATGCCTCTACCTCCAGAGAGACATGGAATTGTTGTTGTTAAGTGTGGTTGAGTTGGTTCCAACTCATAGCGACTCCTGTATAGGGTTTCTGAGGCGAGTTTGAACTGCGGCCTTATGATTCAAACCGACCTGTGGTCTAGTGCATTATCCTGCAGTGCCATATCAGGGAATGGTATTATAAGTCCCATTTTGCAGATGAGACTACAGAGGCTCTGAGGATTAAGAGGCTTGTCTATTAGAATCAGTGAAGGAGGTATGAGCGCTAGAGAAGAGTATCCTGAATTCTTTCTCCCCAGCCCCAACCTCTCTACCCCATGTTTGGAGGAAAGTCTTGGATTGTTTCGTATTTGTTCTCTCCCCGAGCCTCCCTTAACTAGACAGCAGCCGCCACAGTGCCAACCACAGGGTAGTGCACACAGTAGGCGCATACTCATCGTCTGTAGATAGAATACATAGGACTGGGGGCTGGTGTCTGAGAAGCTTTGGACAAAGGCTTAACAAAAGACCATGAGCTGAGGCTTGAAGGATGGTTAGGAACTTTCTAGGGAGCCAGATATTTCTGTCTGGAAAGAGAAGGGTATCCCAGCCAAAGGGAACAGCATGTGCAAAGGGAAGGGAGATCTGAGAAAGGATGAACACTGGGCCCCGAGGCTGTTAAGCCAATTCTGACCCAGACAGTTCTGGAAGTAGATTGCCAGACCTGTCTTCTTATGGGGTCGAAGCTCCAAACTTCCTGCTCGGAGTCAGGTGCCTCCCAGGCACTGACTGTAGTTCTAGCCAATTCCTAAAAGCACGTGCACTTATGCTGGCTGATGATTCTTCGCCATAGGAAACATAGGAAACAGTTCCGCTAGGTAGGTGATATGAAATCTCTTTAATGCCCCGATTTCTTGTTGCCACATGTAACTTTGCTCTGCCATATGCTGTCAGCCCCAGGGGAGGCACACGCCCTGACTGACGGCTTGGGCTCACAAGGGAGCCTGGGTTGACATGCTTTTCTTGACCTTGAAGCCCCTCCTCTTGTGGAACCCTGCCCGGGGCAGGCCGGCCTCGTGGGTCTGCGTGTGGGCGTGGCCCAGCTCTGAGGGGGGCGGTACCAACGGCACCAGCGGTAAAAGCACGGCCGGGGGCATGGAGGGCAGCTCATCAGGGTCCAAGTTGTCATCACTCCAGCCCTCAGAGCTATCACTGGGGCCATCAGCCCCTGTGGTTTCGTCCTCAGATATGGTGACCATCTCGGCCATGTCCTCCCCAGGGTTCCTGTCTAAGTCCCCTGCTTCTTGGTCGGTGGCCTCTTCAAACTCGCAGCCTGTCTGGACATCAGCTGTGTCCTCCTGTTTCTGCTCAGAGCCCATAGCAGGTGCTTCGTGGAGCCTTGCCACAGACCAGGCTGTCTTGGTTCTGCCTTGGCCTGACCAAAAGAGAGAGAGCTCTTGGCGGCAGGCGGCCACAGCCAGGCTGGTGAGCAAGGTGCAGGACACTAGGTAGAGCAGAGCGGGCTGGCCCATCTGCATGATGACCATGGCACTAAAAGTGACCATTAGGCCCGTGGCATAGGCTAAGGTACAGGCCATGAAGTAGATCTGGTGTGAACAGACTTGGGCATCAAAGCGGTGACAGTAGGCCACCAGGAAGCCAGGGACCACGATGTCACCAAAGCCAAGAATAGAGAAGGGCTGGTCACACAGAGTCGATGCTGAGAAGCTTATCCTGGGCACTTTGAACACCATGGGTAACCGCTCGTGGCTCAAGGAATCTGCTGGACCCGTGGCTACTTCCACCATCATGCTCTTACCATTCTCGGTAAAGAAGGGGGTGACAAAGACAAAGAAGACATCAAAGGCCAGCAGGGCCAGCAGGAAGAAGGCACAGCTCTTGAGTGTGGGCAGCCGCACGCGCCGCAGGACAGAAAGGCAGTAGGCCACACCCAGTGTGTCCTGCAGAAGCCATGCCCAGTCATCCTCGTTGCGGTAGGCCACCCAGACGATGGTCACCACCGTGCACAGGCTGGCCAGCAGCAGCAGGGGCAGTTGCAGACAGGCCCGACTGCCAGGTAGAGACCACTGGCATTGCTGCAGGGGCAGGTGGCGCACCAGCGGGGCCAGGCAACTGTAGAGGGCGGTACCAGCGCCCAGACCGAAGATCCCGATCATGACATAGATGAAGCAATCATAGAAGAAGTAAAGCAGCAGCATGATGGAGCAGGACGTGGTGACCACTGCACCAGTCATGGCTGGCGTGAAGTCCATTGGAGGGTCCTCATTGTCTTCCTCCTGTCCCCCTTCAGCTGCCACAGCTTCCAGCTGATGGTGACCGCCAGGCCCCCCTCCTCCTCGGGCCCGGCGCCGCTGCAGCCAGTCAGCCTCGGTCAGGCCAGCCCAGTAGCCACCTGCGGCCACGGTGCCTACAGCCAGGATGAAGATGAACACCATGTTGTAGTCAAGGGTGGGCTCCGGGGGCGCATACATGGCCACGCGGATGAGGGCGCGGCCGCTTGTGTGGCTGAGGATGTCCAGCATGTCAGTGTAACGCAGCACAGCTATGGGAATGGTGAGCTGTGACAAGGGCTTGTGGGGGTCCTGGGAGGCCGGCGTGGTGTCTGAGCACGGCTGGCCACTGGCCGGGCTCACGATGAGCAGCCCATGGGCGCCTTGGCCCTGAGCCAGCCACCCTTTGGAGTAGAGGCTGCAGTTACCCCTCATGACCATGGCGGTGGTGTGGCGGAGTGGCTGCTGGGCCTGGTGGAAGGCGTCCTCACCCGGGCACCAGGGTGTCATGGTGCTATCGTGCAAGGGCAGGAGTGGGGCATGGCGCAAGTCCCGAGGCAGGGTGACATACTCGGAGCTGAACAGGGCACAGTAGTCCTTGCTCCAGTTCTCTGACACCACGTGGACCATGGCATACTCCCCCCAGGTCACGGTGCTGGTGAGGAGGATGAGGAGGAAGCCCACGAGGAGGAGGAAACCCAGGCTTGCCATCCTCCTCAGCCACCTACAGCTGTGTCCCCTCGGGCTGTGGCTGTTCAACCTCACTTCTCCCTGCCAGCAGGTGGGTGTGGCTCCTGGTCACAGAGCAGCTTTGCCTCCTGTCCTGGAGACCAGGGCCACACCTACACAGTCATAAAGCTGTGTCTTCCCCGGCCCAGGACACTGCCCGCAACCTGGCTTCTGGGCAGAGAGGACATCTGGGTCCCTACCCTCTACCTGGGACCAGGTAGCATGATAACAGAGTGGGAGGATAGGATTAGAGACCCCAGACAGAATTCTGGCTTGGTTTTGCTGATTATCCAGTAGAAGACCTGGACAGACACTTTTCCTCCTTGGACCTGTTCCTTTATCTGCCAAGAAATGAGGGCATCCGATTATAAGGGTTTCTAAAGCTCCTTGGAGCTCTGACTTCAATGATGTTGAGCAATTTTATTGAGCACTTACTATGTGCCAAATGCTTTATCTGCCCTAGTGGCACCCCTGCAAGATGTTCTCCACTCAGAGTCAGAATTGCCAGCTGTCCTCCAAAAGCAGCCCCCACTTCTACCAACACATGGCCAGAATGAATTTTCCAGCCTTGCTTGCAGTTGGTCATGGCCACGTGACCAAGTCAATGGAAACTGAGCAGAAGTAATGTGAGCCCCTTTGCAGCTGAAACTGAGGCTGGAAGACTTGGGGCTACTTGTCCACTTTCTGTCTCATGAGTCAAAGCACGGACTGATATGTGACCCAGAGATGACCACACAAAGGAGGATAATTTCCTATGGGATGAGAGGTGAAAAGTGAAAGGAACCTCGGTCCTGAGGTGCTGCAGGGAGCACTTACTGGGGGCTGTTACAGAGATTCAGTATCTTCCTGAAGCATTGAATGGTTGCAGCCTCTTTGTTACAGCAGCCTAGCTAGCCTTACCCTAATAACCCACTTCATGGATGAGTAAGCCAGAGGCCCAGGGAAGCCCAGACAGACAAAGCTGGAGTGGGTTGGAGGCTCTTGTGCTGGTGATACCACTGGATCTCAGCATCTCCCAAACGTTTTGAGTTGATTCTAGGTCACAATCTCTGTCTTGCCCTTGAAGTTGGACAGGCTTCCAGCTGGAAACAGAGCTCATATACTGGTAAGAGGTGACTTTGAGTCAGGAAGCCACATTCTGGTCCTGCACGAGTCTGTCCCCACTCTGTGACTCATGTCACCTCATAGGTCACTGGGATTTCTACCTATGCTTCTCCAGGCCACTCATAGACAGGGAAGGGCTGACGAATGGGGGGTGGAGAGGGAGACACCTTGGGACCAGAAAGAAAGGGGCGTAAGGGCTGAAGCTGGCCATCTGGGTACCAGCCATGTGCGGCTACCTAAATGCTCCCCAAATAGTGCTCCCTGCCCATGTCCTGATGCACAAGTGCTCCTGACTTGTGCTCCACTCACATGCTGTCCTCTTCCACCTCCCTGGAAGGCACTCGGCAGCTTTTCTCTCTGGTGCGGTGACAACTCCCTGTCCTCTAAGAGCCACCAGCCACCAGAAGCAGAGCCAGCTGCTGTTCTGTTCCCGGAGGCACATGGCCTATGATTTGGCTCATGTTCCAACACAGGGCTCCTTTCCCTGAGACCCTGGCCTCAGGTTGTAGGGACAGGTTTGTGGCCCACCCTGAGTCCCAGATCCAGCTCTTTCTTGTACCTGGATGCCTGGGTCCCTGACCACCAGGTCTGCTCTCTGCCCAGAGCCTACTGTTGGGGTGGCCCAGGCCCATTCAGACCTCAGCTCCAACACCATCACCCACTTCCTTCCTGAAAAATGATGGGTCCCTTCTTAGCACGTTATCATCACAGTTTTCTTTTCTTGTACTATGGCAAACTGAGATTGTTTGTTGATGCATTTAATTGTTGATTTTCTGTCTCCCACTGGTTAAATATAAGCCCAGTGAGGACAGGAACTTTGTCTCATTCACTGCTTTTGGATTCTGGATCGTAATTTGTTGTTGTTGTTGTAGCTGGGTGTTGTTGAGTTTGTTCTGACTTATTTGTTCTGACCTCTACATTTGTCCCGTGGGGTTTTCTAAGCTGTCACCTTTATGGGAATGGATTGTCAGATCTTTCTCCAGTGGAGCAGCCTTGTGGGTTTGAACTGCTGACCTTTCAGCTTGCAGTCACTTCATGCTTGGTAAATATGTGAGGATGATGAGGGTGTGCATCCTGTTTCACAGCAGAAAGGACAAAGACCAAGGGCAGTTAAGGAACTTTTCTAAGGGGAGGAGACGAGATTCAGATGCTGGCTTTGGGTGGTGGCCCTTCAGACTAACCCTGTTACTGCTGTGTGGTACGCCAGGGGACGTATCAGCAACACACTTGTCTGAGGTGGTTGGGACTGGGCAAGAGATTGGTGCATTGAAACATTCCATGAATTAAGTCCCCCAGTAAAAAGACACCTACATAATATGTTAGGAGAAACTGGGTGAGGGGTAAGGAACCCTGGTGGCTTTGTAAGATAAGCACTAGACTCTGAACCACAAGGTTGATGGTTCAAGCCCACCATCCACTCTGAGGGAGTAAGATGAGGTTTTCTGTTTCCGCAAAGATTTATAGTCTCAGAACCCTATATAGAGTCAAGATGACTAGGAGCTGACTCGGCGGTGCAACAACCACATGATTGGAATTGATTCTATGGTAGTGGGTCTGGGTGAGGGGTATGACTTTTCTGTAAATCTAAAAGTATTCCAAAAGGTACAAGCTTATGTATTAAGACAAAAAAACATACTTTATCCAGTTAAACTTCACTGAGTAGATTCCGACTCTCTTTCAGGTCTCTCCTTTGAACATGGGTCACATCCCTTGGTCTTCTGAACTGCCTTCCTGGTGAAACTCAACTCCTGAAACCCCATCTCCAATTCCCAGTGGGACAGAGCTTCAAAGCACTGCCACAAAACTCATCTAGTTTTGCCTTTCGTTTTCTTTATGATCCATCTAGATTTTGACCATCTCCTCTTGCCCGATTATTTATTTTCATCTCACCCACACCTAATGTAACAGATAATTTTTGTGACTCATGTATATCGTGTCTCTCAATTCGTTCAACTGAGTGCTCAGAAGAAACAGCTCTTTGTTTGTGTTCTCTGGTTTCATCCATTAATACAACATTTAATTAGATTACAAACAGTAATTACAATGACAAGTTAACTGTCAGAAATGCGCTTTAGAGAAAACACAATTGACAACCGGGAGTAAGGGGAGAGGTGGGCAGGGTCAGAGGAGGGGTTTCTTACTTCCTTCTAGCAGGTTCTGGTGCTCCAGGGGCCGTTAGGGAAGGGAAGGAGGGGAGCCTTATGGAGCGATGTGCACACTGGATGTCCCTTTGAATCTTCCTGAGTAGGGATCCTTGTGGCCCCCCACCTGCTGGATGCAGTCTAGACCCTCCCCAAGCCTCTCACTGGCATTGTCAGCTCTCACCCGAACTTTTCTGGACCTGTCCCACCAACATGTGCTCCAACTGGGGTCAGGAAACATTAGGAACCCCAGCTAGCATGCTCCTGCACTCCCTTCCTGATCTACCTTGCGGATCCGGGGCCAGAATTCTCGGGAGGCTCATTCACTCTGATGCTCTTCCTGGGCTCAGTTCACTGAAGGCATTTGGGTTTCGGCTCAGTCATTGCTCTCTAGTTCTTCAGTCCAGCCTCACCAGCTTTGGCCTTACTCCCACCAGCATCATGCCTTAGTGGGTGTGAGTCACATGAGGGACTGATGCCCTCTGGGTCCACCCTCAGTCTGTTGCTGCTCCCAGAGTCTGAAGCCACCCTCCCCAGACTCTACTGAGGGTTTCTGTCATTGAAAACAGCTCTCAATCTGCAGCTTTTTCTCCATTTCTGCTGTGCCCTTGGTTCTCACAGTGGCAGCCCAGAGGAGTCTGGGGCAATGTCTTGCCACCCATCTGGGGTTCTGGGTGGTGCTTGGAGCATTTGTCTTCAACTGCTCTGGGAAGCTGAGGGTGCAGACCCCAGCAGCGGCTTCTCCAGAAGGAAGGGGATGTGCCTAGCTCACTAGCCTTGCTCCCAGCTGCATGTTCCAGAGATGGCAGACATGGAGAAGGGTGGGAATGCCATCTCCTCCCTCCACCACTATCTCAGCACAGTACTCCCCAAGTCTCCTCAGGTACACTGCCCCTCCTCCGGTCCTTGGTCCAATGGGCAGTGAAGTTGGATAGAAGTAGACAGAAGTGGCAGAGTGGCGCTTTAGTGGCCAAAGGGGTCTCTGGAATTGTCTCCAAATGACCTCACGGGAACTTTAACATCGGGCCTGGCCCAGCCCTGCTGGGGCCACTGACTTGGAGTTAAGGTGGGGGCAGGGAGGAGGGGGAGGGAGAGCACAAGATGGAGCAGGGACAAAGACCAGTGGAGGCTGGGGTGGGTGAAGGGAGAGGGTCAGGCAGGACTCTGCACATTCTAACTCATTAGTCCAGCTCAGCTCCAAGCCATGTTTGTCCACAAACTGGAGAGCTGAGAACTGAGGGGGGAGAGGAGGGAATCCTATACCAAACTCCTGTTGCAGTGGTTAAGAATGGAGGTGGGTCAGGTTGACTTGAGTTCTCATGCAGCCATGCCACTTACTGGGTGCCCTCTAGAAGGTCCCTCAACCTCTCTGGGCTTCACTTTCCTTATCTGTTAAATGGGCATAATAGCCCCTGCCTCCAAGGGGGTATGAAGATTAGCTGAGATTAACATGAGAGGGGCTCAGTGTGGTCTGGTGCCCAGAAAGCCAACATCGGTGATACCATTGGTGTTCCTGAGATGCAGAAAGCAAGCCCCTAGGGAAATACATGAGAGGACCCCGAGATCCCCTGAGCTGAGGCCAGCAGCATGTCACAGGGCTGGGCAGAGGCTGGCAGGGAGTGGGAGGCCCACTGTTTGAAGTTAAGAATCACTTTGACCAGTGGAGGGGTGTAGGGAAGGGGTGGCTGAGAGCCAGGGTGAAGTGCAGAACCCTCATTGGACTCAGCTAGCTTGACA